ACCACCCCACAAAGTGTGAACAAGACTGAGGTACCTGGTTACAAACTAGAAAGCATGGAGAGTAAGTAATCGAGGCCAGAAAGCCATCCTCCAAACCACAAGTCACGAATGAGTATCAGAAGATAGGCTGAATAAGCCCAGCCTACCCAAATTTTCTACTGCTAAAATCAGGATCAAAGAGGTGGTGGTTTAAAAATCTCACTAACTAAACTTCGTAGTTTGATGGTTTGTTAAGTAGTAAAATCTAATTTAGACAATAAAGAATGAATTATTCATCAACTCATTTTATAGACACTAATTAAGTCTTCATTCATTATTTCTAGGTCTGACCAGGGGGTTACTGTGGATACAGAGATTAACACAAAACAGTACCTGCAATTCCAGCCATTTCCCCTATATAGAGGAAGCAGGAACAAGATCTACTTAGGAGGACAAAATGGTTCAAAAAGGCCATATTAGAATGGGCATGGTATTACCTGTCTTTAATTATAGCACTAGGGAGAGGCAGACAGATAATATTGTAAGGCCAGTATGAACTACATAGCTAGTTCCACGTGAGGACTTGACTTAAGAGACTACATTTGGGATGGTTTTAAAAAGCCAAACACCATTTTGACAAGGAGACTGGAACAGGGAAGTAGCTCAGTGGTAGAACACTTAGCTAGCACATACAATCTGAATTCCTTCCCCAGCAGAAGGAAAGGAAAACAAAACAGAAGACAGTGAAAGCAAAAACAGATACAAGAAAGAACTCAAGGAATGTTCCAGGGGTGGCAAACAGTTTAGAACAGATGGAATAGAAGGAGGAAATGGCAGATGATGGAGCAGGAAAACAGATGGAAGGCAAATACTGAAGGGTCTCATATTGTACATCTTGCTATGGAATTTGAATCCCTCTTTTAAGACTGAATGCTACAAATCACCCCTAAGGAATAAATGGAACAATTAGATCTGTTATAAGGAAGCTGATGACAAATGGAAGACAGATTAGAGCCAGAGTCCAATTCAGGGACAGCAGTTGGAAAACAATTCCTACATTCTCAAAGGGCAGTGGAAATGGGGAAGAGAAGATGTCTTTGAAAGATGCTTCAGAGACAAGAGCAAAGTTCAGGAGACTTGCCAATCCACTAAATATGGGCTGGGAATGTAAGAAAAGTTGTGTGGGAAGATCAGGAACCATGTCAAGGCTCTACTACTTTGGAACCCTAGAAGCATGTAAGTAGATGAATTCAGAAAGAACAGAAGAGTAGACTAGAAAGGAATGTCCATGTTCTTACAAAGGCAACTGTGGCACATCCTCAGGGAGACAGACAACAGGCTGTTAATAAGTGGCCCCCATCCAGAGCCTGAGTAGGGAAACAGATGGCAGAAGATGGAGTAATAAGACTTAGGGCATGTTGTTACATTGCTTGGTTCAATTGTATTGTTTTGTTTTAAAGATAGGGTCGCAGTCAGCCAGTGATTGATCCCTGCACTCAGGAGACAAAAGCAGGTGGATCTCTGTGAGAGCAAGGTCAGCCTGATCAACAGAGCAAGTCTACAGAGAAGAAACCCTGTGTGGAAAGAAACCAAAGCCAAAACAAAACAAAAGGATTGAGTCTCATAATACGGCCCAGGCTGTCCTCAAACATCTGACCTGCCTGCCTCAACCTATTTAGTGTTGGGATTTTGAGGAGTATCTTAACAAAGGGAAAGGAGGCCATTCAAAAGATGAAAGTGATGGTGTGAATACAGAACATTCAGGAAAGATAAAGATGCAGAAAACAAAAAGCTAATGGATGATGACATCCTGAGGGAAGCAGCAGTAATGGTGACTGGGGATAGAAGGAAATCTTGAGGCATCAATTTTGCCCATTTTCTCCTGCAGCCCACAGGTTCCTCCCATCCTAACCAGAGGAACCAATGACAGTAACTTAGACGACATGAGTGATAGCATCTATATCCAGGGAGAAAACATTGATCATTTTACACTGTTTTATTTTGATTTTTGAGATAGTGCCTCACACATTAGACCAGGGTGTTATCAGACTTGGGATAAACCTCCTGTTTCTGCCTCTTGAGAACTGGGATTATATTCATTCAATCACCCAAGAAAGGGGAGGCAGCACATACAACTTTTGAAATCCCTTTTATGCCACCTCCTACAGCAATGGATATCAGCTGTGATTCTTGGGTCACATATTTGAAATGTGCTTATGTAAGTTTATCAACCCAAATCCATAACCAGAAATGCTCCAAAATCTGAAAAAGTTCATGTCTGACCCATATGATAGTCAAAATATAGATATACTAAAATAAAGTTTAAAATTACCACCAGGCAGCATGAATAAGTGAATAAGTTATATAAATATAAATGAGAGCCATGCTTAAAGTCAGGTCCCATTAGGTAGAGACAAATATTATAAAAAGTAAAGTACTTCTGGACTCAAGCATTTTAGGGAAAGGTCTGCTTAACTCTGTAGCTAGCTTAAGCCGACAGCCACCAAATAAATCATCTTCATGTGCCCTCAACAATTAAAAAAGCTTTTAAAAGAGCAGACCCTGATGATAGCAGAAAAAAACACAGGATTAGCGAGTACAGCCTGTGTGGCAGGGGCTAGTAATGGGAACACAGGGAACACACTGTGCTGGGACAAGCTTGTCACTTCAGAGGGCTGTCACCTGTTCAAAGAACTCTACTCATTGCCGTCTATGGAGAGCGACCTCAACACTAAACAGAGATTTCTTCCTGATGGTCTGCCAGCTGATCCAGGCAGCTGGCAACCAGCTCCTCCTACCACAGGTGGCCATAGCTAATGAGACGCTTTAAAGTAATACAAGGCCATCATGGTGGTGCGTGGCTGTAAAGCCAGCATTCAGGAGGCTAGGGCAGAAGGGTCTGCTCCAGTTAGAAGCAGCCCAGGCAGTACTATTAGTCCCTGTAAGTCCCTGTTTCAAAAACAAAATTTAAAAGTGAAAAGAACTCTGAAGTAAACAAGGATTTCTTAGATAGAACAAAAGGCAATAGTTATAAAAAGAAAAGCAAATGCACTTTATTAAAAATATCAAAAGACGTGTTAAGAAAAAGGCATTTCAAAAAAAAAAGAACAAAGGATTAAAAGGTAAACCATGTGTTGGGTAAAAAAGGGCTTTTTTTTTCTGAAGCAGGGTCTCACTAGCAGTCCAAGCTGTCCTTGAATTAACAATCTTCTTGCCCCCAATTCCTGAGTAATAGGATTATAGGTGGTATGTACCAAACCATAAATACTCATACATATACATCTGACAAAGGACTCACACAGAATGTTTCTTACACTAGAATAAGGGGGGATCAAAAGTGAGTAAGAAGTTGGGCATGGTGCTTCATGCCTTTAATCCCAGCACTTGGGAGCCTGGGCTAAGAGTTGGAGGCCAACCTGTGCTATATACCAAGTACAGGGCAAGCCTGAGCTACTTACTTACTGCCTTAAGGGGGGAGGGAAAAAAGATCTAAATAGGCACTCACAAAAAAGTATACAAATATCAATGGCATCCACAGCATTCAGCACCACTACTAAATAAAAAATATTTTTTAAATCCACAAGGATCACCTCACACTAATTAGAATGGGTACTGGGGGGGGGATAGAAATTAACAAGCTTTGGTAACACTGTGGAGAAATGAGAACCTTCATATTACTGTTAGGAATGTAAAATAGTCTAAACACTACAAACAGCAGTTCCCCAAAACATTAAAAATACAATTCTTCCAGTGACTACTTTTTTTTCCTTTCTCTCCATTTTTTATTTAAATTAGAAACAAGATTATTTTACATGTCAATCCCAGTTCCCTCTGCCTCCCCTCCTCCCCTGCCCCTCACCCCAACTAACCTTCCTATCTCATACCCTTTCTGCTCCCCAGGGAGGGTGAGGCCTTCCATAGGGTGTCTTCAGAGTCTGTCATTGTGTATATACTGAAAAAACTGAGCAGAGCCTTAAGGAGGTATCTGTAACCTTATGTGTACAGCCGCATTATTCTCAACAGCCAGAAGGTGGCAGCACTCAAAAGTCTATGGACAAGTGAACGGATCACATATACACACAATATATTAATGGGCAGACCTTGAGTATTCTACTGAAAATGAGCTATTAAAGGAGGGGGAAGAACAAGAGAAAGAGAATGGAGAGAAAGAAAGAAACCCAGAGCACTGTAGAAAAGGAGGAGACAACCTATAGTGTCAAATTCATAGACAGAAGCTAGAATGTTGGTTGCCATGATAGTATGGGGGAATAAGGCATTATAGTTCAGTTTTGGTTTTATAGGAATTCTTGTGATGAATGATAGGGATAGTTGTCTAATAATGTGAATGTAGTTAATGTCATTAACTATATACTAGAAAAAAACAACTTAAATAATAAACTGCAGGCATGTACGTTTTTAAACACAATCTTAAAGTATGTATTTTTAAACCTACAAAAAATACCACTATGCCCTCCTCAAAAAAAGGTAAAATTCAAATAAAAAAAATGATGTGTGACTATAGTCTCCTGCTTGGGAAGCTGAGGATCACTTCAGCTCAGGCATTATAGCCCAGCCTCAGCAACAAATACAGTGAGAGCACACAAATAAATACATACATAAATAAATAAGTGGTGTTGCTTACGATGTAGAGGAATCAGAGCTCTTACAACCCGCTAGTAGAATTAAATTGGTACAACGACTTTGGAAAACCGTTGACATAGTCTACTGAATCTCAGTGCTGTAAGTACCACACTCTTTCCTAAGTTTGTCTGGAGAACTGAGTGGAAATGTGAACCAAAGAACACAAGCAATAATGTTCAAAGATGCTTTATTCATTTTAGCCAACTCCTGGACACTATCCAAAGATGTAAAAGGAAACAAGTAAATTATCACTCAACCTGTGAAAAAAGATATACACCAGAGAGTTCCTATTGTGTGATATTATTTATATGGATCTTAAAACCAGATTAAAGCAGTGGATTAAGTTTTGTTATTGTTATTTTAATGGCAATTTAGTTTACCTTCACGATGGCATTTGAGATGAATATTGAACAGGTTGGGCAAGAACTCTCCTGAAGTGCTGGAAATGTACTAGGCTTGATCTGCCACGGACTGCCTATTCACAGAAAACATTAAGTGAGCATCAATCATGCTTTGGATTAATGCAAGTCATACTTTTATTGCATGTTTGTTATAACTCAAAGGTAAATTATATGCAAAATACCTTGCTTTTTTTTCCTTTCCTACTTACAAGTTTGGACCCTATTGTACCCAGACTTGCCAGTTTCCCAAGACATCTGATGATGAATCTGAAGCCTCCCCCTCAGAACAAACTTCCTGTTCCTTTGTTTTTCAGTGGTCCCTTTCCTAAAATTAGTCTTTTTATTGGGTTTTTATAAAAACCAGTTTTAATTTAATTTAGTGTATACTTAAAATCTACATCTCTTGTTTGCTTTCTACTGGTCAAATGTCCAACTTGACATTGTTATCTGTTGGGTTTTTAGTTTTGGTTTTTTGGGACAGGGTTCTCCCATGTGGCCCTGGCTGTTCTGACACTCACTCTGTAGAACAGGCTGACCTTGAACTCCGAGATCTGCCTGGCCCTGTCTCCCAAGTGCTAGAACTAAAGGTGTTCTTTTGTTGTGTTTTGTTTGTGACAGGGTTTCACTACATAGCACAGATTCCACCTGCTACTGCTTCCCAAGAGCAACGATTAAAACTATACACCATCATTATAGTCCTGTCCCTTTTAATTTTCAAAAACATCATGGATGGAATTTTATTTTAATTTGTTGTTAGCTCATGCAAACCCACCCCTCAGTTACAAAGGCAGAAAAGTCAAAAATCACAATGTACGACTGTAGATGGTGTTAGAACACTCGCCTTGCATGCACTCACGGTCCTGAGTTGCATTCCCAGCAGCATCTCTGGCCACCCCCCAAAATAGTGTATACATATGTATATTTATTTATATACATATATCTCATAAGGTGTTGTCTACCGTGGGGGTTCACAACTGTGCCAAGTCAGGTCCTGCCACTCAGCATCAGCAAGCCAATTAATACTGCCAAATTAAACATGGAAAGCAGAAAAATGGGAAGTGTATTCAATGTGGACACACTGGGGAAAGAGACAAAGAGATCCAGTATCCCCTAAGCCAGTCAGGGTCCTGAAGTGTGACCAAAGTTTAAATATTGGCCCAAGGATTTGCATTATCTGGCTGCATGAAACCTCTTTCCTAGAGATAAGTTCCCGGCTGGCTGATGGCTTTTCCTTCTCTCAGCATGAGATTCCTGGGGAAATTCCCATTTCTTTGTTGTTCACTGTTTCAATAGTCTGATAATCAGATTGAGATACACATGTCTTTTTAGAATATCTTCATTTCTGCCAGGCAGGTTACAGTATTATATCACACTCCAGTATTTGAGAAATGTGTGGCACCCCTCCCATAGCTAAGAGAAACCTTCACTCTTTTTATAAAGGGACATTTATTGCCTGACCCTTAACAGTCAATTGGCACAGCTTCCTTTCAATAGGTAATGTCTTTCCCTTCTTCTGGATCCTGCCATTATTAATAACGTGAATATTAAAGACCCTAATATGCAAAATCTTATAATGCAATAAGAGTCAAATCCTTTTACCACACAATTTTACAAATTTGATTGCCTCTGCATTGGATATAACATGGCCTTAGTTTAGTCAAATGGACAAATTGGTGGGCTGGAAAAGCAGCAAGACAATAATTGTGAAGTGATGAGAAGGCATTAAGTACAGAAAGGCTAGTGTAGAAATTACCTGGGCTGGGCCAACTGGTTGAATGCTTGCCCAGCATGCACAATGCCCCGGCATAAACCAGTAGTGGTTGCACACAACCACAATGCCAGCACTTGGGAGACAAAAGCAGGTAGAGCAGAAGTACAAGGAAGCCTGATCAATATGATATGGAATTAACAGCAGCCGTTTCTACATTTGTTCAATAAGACAAGTCTGGAGCAGCTGGCAATTTTCACGTTTTAGGAAAAATGTTTTAAAAATAAAGGATAAGACGACTCCTTAAAGCACACCAACTGGACAGTGAAAAAGCAATGCTTCTTTCTTTTTTTTGAACAGTAAACTGGGGTAATCTGGTGTACTGCATATTTTTATTTAAACTACTACCTGAAAAAGATTAATCTTGCTTTCTCTGAGAGCACTTCAAAATGTTACTTCATAAAAGTCAATAGAAATGTCAAAATATTTAGCATAAAAACAAATGGGTTAGTACTACTAGAATACAATAATTATAAAGCTGGATAGGTGGATTAATTGTCCTACATACCTGTGGTTTTTCGGATTCCTGTATTTGCTTACTCATGTGCATTTAACTCTTATTTTTCAGAAGCCAATTCTGGAAGCTTTTGGCTTCGATACTGCCACCTGTAGACATAAAAGAGAAATAAATCATTTATTATTCATCAGCAATGCATCTTTCCTAGGCATCTAACAGAGAAAACAGGAGGAAAAGTGGCAAACTATTTGCTCCAAAAGACCAGTGTTCTTTCTCCCAACGAAACATACCTAAGGCTTCTCCTTCCACAACGGTTCGGTAAAGTAGTTGATTAGAAACCGAAACATACTAAGTCCCACATCAAACAAATGACCTTCTGAATAGTTCATTAAAAGAGATGGAGTTCGGCTAATCCCTGCGATCGGGAAGGTAGAGAAGGAAAATTAAAACGCATTTGAGACTATCCTGGGCGACCTACTAGGTTCCAGGCTTGTCTGGGGAAGAAAAGGAGAAGGAGGCGCGCGCGCGCGCGCGTGTGCGTGTGCGTGTGCGTGTGCGTGTGCGTGTGTGTGTGTGTGTGTGTGTGTGTGTGGTGTGTGAAAGGGAGAGTGCAAGGGAGTAGGGGAGGGGGATGGGGAAGGGGGAGAGAGCACGTGCCAGCATAATTTACAGCCATTTCGAGACCTACCATTTAAAATTAGAAATTAACTTGCCCAGTATAATAATCTGAGAAAAGAATTCCATAAATTAACCGGATGAAAAGAGATAAGGGACCCATGTTCAGGTTACTTTATCACAAGATCATAAGATAGCTATTTAAAAATTATGATTCCAGTCCGAGAAGAGCTTAGTTCAATCTAAAGATTTTCGGTGGGTCTTAATAGTGCCCTGGCCCTGATTTGAACACAAATCCTAAAAGATCTTCCCTCCATCCTATTGATTAAAAAACAGATGAATCCTTTCTTTAAAAAGTCACAGAAAGAACAGAGAAATAAAATATACATAAGCAATTACCAGAGAATCCAAGAAGCTGTAAGACAAAAGGGTTTGTGTCGGAGGGAAAGATAAATACAAACCTTGAAATTCTGTGGTTAACTGAAAATACGAGGAAGCGCCTTGCCCGGCTGCTGCGCTGCAGAGGGGCAGCTCGTCGGACCGCCAGTCTTCCCAGGACAAGTGGCCACCTCCTCCCTGGTTCCAACGGGCTAAGCCAAGAAGCACTTCCCGCGCCCACCCCCTGTGGAGACAGAAGAAGACCCCCCACCGAACCCGCCTCGATCGCTACCCGGCAAAGCCCGGGCTTCTTTGCCCACACCAGAGAGGCATCCCACTTACCCATCATTTACTTTAAAGCTCAAAAGCTTGTTTTTTACGGAACTACGCAAATCCTAGCAAACCAAGTCTTCTTGAGGCACTATCCTCCTCCTTTCCAGGGTGTTCATCAAAAAAGGAGAGAGGGAGAGGGTGAGAGGGAGAGAGGGAGAGAGGGAGAGGGAGAGGGAGAGAGAGAGGCAGAGAGAGAGAGAGAGAGAGAGAGAGAGAGAGAGAGAGAGAGAGAGCGAGAGAGAGAGAGAGAGAGAGAGAGAGAGAGAGACAAAAAACACTTCTCCCTTCTCAAGCGCGATCTTAACGCTGCGCCATCCCAAAGAAGGTCTTTGAGTACCCGCCAAGGACCAACACCGCTCCCACGTGCCTCCATGAAGCCCTCGTGTAGTGCAAACGTGCACAAGCGCCCGAGGATTATGTGCACCTCCAGCCCTCGGAGGGACGTTCTGCACCCCCATCACCCCAGCCACCACCCTAGCTTGTACAGCAGGAGGGGGGCCCCGGGTGTGACGACGCTCTGGCACAATACTCTAGCAACTCCAGCCTTCCCCGGGCAGTCCTGCCACCAATCTCCTCTCACCCACCCAGTCCCTTCAGTCCCCGCGGGCCAGGAGCACGGTCAAAAGCTCCCTGGTGGCTGTTGGGTGGGGATCAGAAAGGTTGGAGCAACAAACAACCACCACCCAGATCTCGAGTGGGTAAAGGGTCGCGGCCGCCAGACGCTACAGTGGAAGGAAGCTCAGCTCCTCCAAGGAGTCGGGGTGAGGATCGCCCCCAGGAGACCCGAAGGAGCGAATCCCACAGGCGGGAGTTCTCCCGCACCTCTCCCCCACCTAGCCCCAGCGCGTTCAAGCGCGCACCCTTCGGAGATGAACTCCCTCCTCTGGCAATTAGGTCCTGGCGGGCCCTTGCCCACGATAGCCACAACAGCCCTGCTTCTCAGGCCACCTCGACCCCAGAA